CTTTCTGGATCTGCCTCTGATGATGTCAGATGCTGTTCCTGTCTGACCTTAGGCAGTCTGTTCAAGACTTTCAGTAATCTACTGTTTGTGGCTGTCTCCTTCAACTGTTAATCTAGTCACTTTGCATTCAGCAGGTCACCTTAGACAGCTCAGGGTGGGGTGGAGTCCCTCCTTGGAGCAGGGTTATTGGGTCCTCTCCTGCTGCTGCCATATGGGGGAGGAATCCGCACTGGGATCCTGCTAGATACTCTCTCTGTTCTCTCCCCAAAACCTCTGTCTCTCCTCAAGTGTCTCCAGACCTCTCTGTGCCCCCTTTAGCCAGGGATCTACTGTCTGTAGCTGCCTCTCTGCACTAAGCAGGTGGTTTTGATAGTACAGGGTGGGGTGGAATCCCACCTGGGGGCAGGGCTATTGGGTCCTTTGACACTAGTTCCATTCAGGGGGAGTGGTGTCTGCTTGAGCAAGATGGCTGCTGCCGCATGGGGGATGAGTCAGCACGAAGATCCAGCCGGCTACTCTGTCAGTTCTCTCCCCAAAGCCTCCTTCCCCAGTCTCTCCTCAGGATCTCTAGCCCACTCTGCCCCTGCATTTGCTGGACACCACAGTAAGTGGCTGCACATAAGAATTTATGCGTTGGCCCTTTAAACAGTTCTTTGCATCTCCAGCCGCTGGTCTCTGGCAGAGAGCAACCCTGCCGCTCTTCACAGCTGGCTGTTTTCTGTGTACCCTTTGGGCTCTGGTGTTGTGGGCTAGAGCTCCCTACTTTTGGTTTAGACCCTGCTCTTCTCAGGGGGATCCAATTGGCTATTTCAATATCCTTCTGGTGCTGCCACCTGTGGGCACCCCACCCACCTTCTCGAGTCTCTACCGCACTCCTTATCAGTTAGATTGCGCTAAGGCCAATTCTTCTGTCTCCAAGGTTACAAGGCTCCTCTCTCGCTATTGTTCAGCTGTTTGTTCCAGGTGATTTCTTCACAATTTAGTTGTAATTCCAGGTGGGTCCTGGGAGATCGGTGTGACTTCTACTTACTCCTCCACCATCTTGAAAATCCATTCTCTAAATTTTTTTTGTTCTAGTTTGTGTCTTTTTGTCTTTTTTTTACTTGATTATCTAGCCTGATGGCAAGACATTTCCCTTCTTTTCCTCCTGTAATCCAATATGCAAACAATACATACAGGGTGGGGCAATGTAGGTTTACAGGTGTTCATATGGAAAATAATACAATAATCTAATACAATAATTAATAAATAAATAATACAAAAATAAACTCTGTTTCATGTACTTTTGTCCACCCCTGCATCATTATGAAGTTTATATTATGAAACTTATATCTCTAAAATGATATCCATTTTATATTCTTTCTTTCTCTTGATATTGAATAGATTATAAATCATCATAACTACAGTGAGATGAAAATTGAATATACATGGTTTTTATTCCATTTTTAATGGCATCCAATAAAGACATTATTCTAACTACCTGTGTTATGATTGTTGGGAAGGATTCTTAAAAATCACTACATGCTATTTCAATTTATTTAAACTAATACATTAATTACTTCATGTTAAAAAAATAGAACATTCTAATTTAACTTTTAAAATTTTATACTATTCAGCCCCAATTTAGACCTAGCACTCAGAATCCGCACTGATTTGAGAAAAAGGCACAAATTAAAATTTTATTGCTATGAATTCTTATTTTTAAATAAGCAGGAGCTTTCTCACCTTAGTTTGATGAACTCTAACCAAATGTGAATGGTATCATGTATACTTTTATTCCCTTGGATAGTATATTACATGACAGTAGGGACCATGTCTTTTTTTGCTCACCATTATATATACATATTTCAGCATACAGGAAGCTCTAAAAGTAAGATAATATTAGATGAGAAAAGAAAGGTACAGAAATAGTGTAAGTGTAATGAACTTATTTTTATAAAATAATGGTGACAAAGTCCTCTGAGTATGTATATATGTTTATGTGCATGTGTGTTTAAGTACAAGAAAAGAAGAATTGATAGAGTATTTTGCCACTATGAAGGACACCTCAGAGAGTACTACTGTCAGGGGAAAGGAGAAAAAGAGAAAGCATAGAATAGATGTAAAACAGATGTCACAAATCCTAATTATGGTAAAAAGATATATTTTAATCATTTAAATAATGGATCATTTAAGAACTATCTCAGAGAAACTAAAAGAAAATCAAAAGCATAACAGGATACATAATTAATATGATCTTTTCATTCTAGAAGAAAAAGAGCTAACAGATAAAAATAATATAGTTTCATACAGTGATGAGTCCTCAGAAAAAAAATGTTACAATTTAGATGATAGGGGAAGATAGTCCTGAGCTCAAGAAGATGTCAAGCTTAAAATAGTATATATGGGATTCATCAAGGTGTGGATGGTATTGAAAGCCACGTGGTTTAGTGTGATTATCTAGAGAGTGGTGTTGAGGAGTAGAGAATTAAGAACTTTACTCCAGAGCACTCCAACATCTATAGAATAGGATATGGAAAAGGTTATTGAGGAAGAGGCCCACAAGGAAACAAAGAGTGTATTTTCCTTTAAAGTTGGTGTTGAAGGAGGCAAGGAATAAAATCCGACCAATGAATCAGGCAACTTGAAGATTGCTGGTGATATTCACAAAAACAAGTAAAGTAGAGAGGCAAGGATGAACTTCTGAGATGAGCCAAAAAAAAGTAGAGATGAGGAAGTGGAGATGATGGGACAACTCTTTCAATGAGTTTCACCGTGAAGTGTGTTACGGGGTGGTGAGAGAAATGCAATGGAGGGGCATGATGGGGTCAACAGAGGCTTTCTAAAGAGGATATTTATGATATACTCATGTTTGTATGCTGATCATGGGTAAAACCCATGATGGAGAAAGGAGGTAATTTCAAGAGAAAACTCATTGAGAAGTGTGAGGCAAAGGCCTTTAACCTATAAGAAAAGGCTTACTTAGGCTTAGGATGGAGAAAGAACAATTAGATAGGTGTTTATCCTTGAAGTGCATATCAGCATGATGAGAGGGGGATATTCCTAAGAACAGGTCATATTTGAAGGCATTTTGCCACATTGTATTAAAATCAATGTAGATTTAAATATCATCAGCTGTCCCTTAGCCAATGATCCACAACTGCCAATTTCAATCAAGAAAACCACAAGTTTACATCATAAGAGACATTTTCTTGTTATTTAAATTCTCCAAAATTATAGACTCAACAAGATGATGATATAAACATGCATTTATGACAGCACGGATGGACCTGGAGAGTATTCCGCTAAGTGAAATAAGCCAGTCAGAGAAAGACAAGTAACATATGATTGAACAGCATAAACTAGCCAAGTGGAAACAGACTCATGGATATGGAGAACAAAATGACAGATGTCAAAGGGAAGGGGGTTTGGGGCTGGGTGAAAAGAGTGAAGGGATTAAGCATAATAAAAAGAAAGACTTATGGACAGAGACAACAGTAATTGTCAGAGGAAAGCAGGGGTAGGGAGAGGTAAAAGAAGGTAAAGGTGAGATAAATGGTGATGGAAGGAGACTTTACTTGGGGTAGTAAACACACAATACAATGTTCAGATGCTGTATTGTAGAATGTATACCTAAAACCTATATAATTTTATTAATCAATGTTGCCCCAATAAATTTAATAAAAATGTATAAGTAAATATTAATAGAGTGAGAAATACATATATATTTTCCCAGTTATTCTATGATCCTAGTGCAATACAATTTCCATTAAAAATCCAACACTGAGCAAGTTTACATATATTAGAAGAAAAATGATAATTCATATCTAAACCAGAAGAACTTCATTCTTAGAAATTTCTCAAATAATTGTGTCCTTCCTACTACAACAGCTATTCTACTATATGGCGAGTAAGCTGTGATTTTAAAATCACTGATCAATGCACTCCTAACACATGCCAACAAACACCAACATCTTTTAAACTCATCTGCAGTGTTGAAAAGAAACCTTTCCTGCCTTCTGTTGGAGGTTTTGTATGCTTAAAACAGGGATTTCTTAACCTTGACAGCACAAGCAGAACACTAATAAGCAGCTAGAAATGCACCAATATTTTGCAATGAGTTTTTAATAGCAAATGTCAAAGAAAGCAAAGAAAGGTTTTTATTTCCCTCTCTACAGATGTAGGCACAAAATGATACAGTCACAGAAAATTCATGTAAACTTATTACAGTAATAATAAACTAAAGTTGAATAAAATTGGGCAGTTTCCTTCTATTTAAATCCTTAATTTTCATCCACAATTACCCAAGTAACACATTTACTTGCATGTTTAAGTTTATACTTACAAAGACAAAAATGTGCAAAGACAGTTTTTAAAGATCTCTGAAAATATTAGACCTAGAGTGTTCCAACTACCAAATCTACTTTCTCTACAGACCCAGTTATTCTTCTATCAAAAACAATGGGGTGATTCAGGAATCTTTAATGGACCAAGGAAAATAAGAGATTACGATCTTTCTCCCTTTTACAGCTGAACAAAGTATCTCAAATTCCCAGCAATAATCTTCTTACTGAGCAAAATAACTCCGATAAAATTGTCTTTTATATCAATTGTTTTTAGTTACCACTTTGTCTTTTAGTAAAATAAAAATGTCCAAATTATATTTTTGATGATATTTAAACTCTTCATTCAGTCAGAAGTGTGATGGCTGTAGAAACCAAAGCTAGAAACCCAAAGTACATGGATATGACACACTTTAAGTTTAGGGAACAAAACATGGGCAAGCTTGGATTTTTATAACTAACATCTGTATATAAATCAGTCTATCACCCCAGTTTTAGACAAACTACTTGAATCCAAAAATAATGAAGTGGATAATGTAACCTGAGTACACAGAAAAAGTCCCCAAGAAACAGATAAGGAATTGAGACAAGAGTGAGAGGTGGCTGTTCTAATAAATTCTGACTCTGGGTTGTTTGTTCTGGTTTTGTGTGTTTGTTTGTTCAGTCTGAATGGCTTACCATCTTGCTGGCCATGAAGCGCCTGGGGACTCTGCATTCTTTCCTCAAGATTGGAGCTAAGATCAGAGTTCACGGCCGACATCCGTGTGGAATCGCTCATATCAAATTCATCACTTTCTATTGAACTTTCATCCTGAAAATGATTTTAAAACATCATCAAGCATCATAAAATATAATACATTTAAATAGTGACCATTTTATCATTAGGGTCAATTAGAGTTTAGCCAGTATGTAAGCTTTTACAGAACTCAGTAAAATGTGTTACACATTGATATTTGAAATAACAAGTAACAGAATAATTTCTCCCAACAAGGAATTTAAGACTTGTGAAGATTCAAGCAATGTATCTTTGTAGAGGCAGATTTAAAGAGTAAAAGAACATGTTTAGAGAGGATATAGTTGGGGATTTATCCTGAATTACAAAAGAATGGATTTTTTTCTTTTTTATTAAATTTATTGGGATTCAGGTGTACATTTCTACAATATAACACATCATCTTTAATGTATATTTTAATGAAACCAAGGCATGCATTCATTCTATAAGTTCTATTCTAATTATTAACTGAATAAATTATCTTTCAATTAAAGGTGGCAAAGTTTACAAAATATAATATTGTGGGATTTTTATCATCAACATAGAAATAATGTTAATCATTCTAGGAAGAAATTACTGAATATTTATAAATGTGAATAATCACTAAATTTGATTGATATGATATTCGGTACTGTGTGTTCGCCACCCAAAGTCAAGAATCTTTCTATCACCATTTTTTAATTAGCAAAGAACTTTCTGTAAGTACAGATCTTAGATTGCAATAAAAATAATAATAAAAACCTCAACCAAAAACTTTTCATTGGAAAACAGCATAGATTCTAGTAACAGACTTATGTGGCCAGATTCAAAGCCCACATTGCTGGAGAGAAAGATAACCCCAGCACATATTTTTTATTAGTGAATGTAAATTTATTGCGAACACAAAAACGAGTTCTAGGTAAAGTGTGAAAGATGCATTTACCAAAAGCCAGTTCACCTAATAGCTAAATTAGCCAAAGGCCTGTTTGCCAAATGGCCAATTTATCAAAACCTGTCAAATATTAAACAAAATCTAAAATATTTTTCAATAGTAATTTCACTGAAGCAAACTCCTTTTGGAGAACTGACTTCAGACAAATGGTTTGCTTTTGTAAGCAGGATGCCTGAGAAACCTGTGTAAAATATTGTAAATATTCCATTGAAATCAATAGGTTTGATTTTCATTTGTCATTGTTGGATATGAAACTTTAACATTAATATAATAGTTAGTAGTAACAGTGCTGCTATTTATGTTTCAAACACTGTTCTTTATATTTTTCACTCACTTCATCTTCATCACAAACTGTTAGATTCCAGGATCCATCCAATTTTACAGATTGAAAAATTGAGAAACAGAACAGTTAAAATAATTTATTAGATGCCACATAGATGTCTCTTGGTGACATATCCTCTCTCAGTACACTATGTTGTCCTATCTAAATTCTTAGAAAATCTAGAGCATCTGAAATAAATATATATGTTAAAAGGAGAAAAAAATAACACAACTAAGTGTGTACATCAATGTTATCAATGTGTACCATATACATATATATATATATGCACACATAGCTATGGCATAGATATCCATTTTACAAGTATATATACACTATAGTGCCCATGAGGTCAGTGTCTTACAGTATATTCTCTAAAGCCAGACTGCCAGGTTCAGATCCAAATTCAGCCACTTATTAGATGTGTTACTTTAAGCAAGTTACCTAACCATTTGTGCCTCATGTCCTCGTCTATAAAATAGAAATGATAATAGTATCAGTCTCTTAGGGCTATATGAGGACGGAGGGAATATATTATTTGAAGTAGTTAGAACAATGTCAGATACACATTAAGATAAGCACAGAACTACTTGATATTGTTGTGTAGAATATATTTAAAATTCTACAGTATGTGGTAAGATTCATATTTATTATATGAACACATACAGAAATAAATATAATGATAAAGATGAGCAACATGCATTTACAAAGTAGGTTTGTATTCTACATAAACATTGTCTTTATAATAAGCATTTATTATTTATACTAGAAATGGCTAACTATATGTAACCTACTAAAACACTGTTTCCATGGTGCATGTGTGCATATACACCATCTGAGATAATGCATGTGTATGTGTGTAAAATGTATGTATATGTGAGAATGAGTGTGCATATGTGTGTTTAAAGAGCCAGGTCACTGTCTCTGTTCCATGAAATGATTATATAAGCTGCTATAGCACATTATGAATAATCAATAAAATTCTATAACCATTAAATGACACTCTTGTCAGCATATTTTTTAAGATATCTGGACAATAGATTAAAATAATTATGCAACCAAATGTACCTGTTCTTTATTTTTATTTTTTAAAACTCATAATTTTAAGGTACACAAGTGGCTTAATGATTATGATTATTTTAAATATTTTCCTCTATGATTTCCTATGAAATATAATTTGCTTTTCACAATTGTACTACTTATTAGAATATGAATTATCCAATTGCTTATATTTACAAAGGACTTTAATGAAACTAAAGTACATGCATTCATTCAGTAAGTTCTACTCTATTACTAGTGGAATAAATTATTATCTTTCAATAAAAGGTAGCAATACGTGTAAAATATAGTATCATGGGTTTTTTTTATTATCAACATAGAGATAATGCTAATGCCTCTAGGAAGAAATTACTGAGTATTTTTAAAGGTAAGGAATCTTAAAATTTGATTTATATAAGTATTTTATTTTATTCATGATCATCTTTAGGTCATTCGTCTAAGTCCTTCCCTCTGGTTTTGTTTTGTATGATGACCTGTGGAGAAAACGTCTCTCCACATCTTATAATATGACCTTATTCCTTATGTGATGAAAATCTCATGATAACAAAAGCCAGGCTAACCACCATTCTGCTTCCTTGAAATTTAATTTTAAAGAATTAGAATATATATTTGATTGTAATAATTTTCTTCCCAGTCTTTCCCCTTTTAAAAATGGCACTTATTTTTATTTTGAAAAAAATGTTATTTTTGACCTTTCATTTCTATTTTGACAAGTTCTGTAAAATTCAGATCTCTAATTTGTCCCATATTTCATTTTAGTTTTCAAGTTCCAGATTTTACCTTTAGAGAGTCTCCAAATACCTCCTGATTTCCATCGTTACTGTCTCACTGATCGAGACCTCCTTTTCTATTTTCTGAGTGACCCAATAATATTTTCCTAGTTACCTACGTACCTTCACTTTCTTCACCACCAGTCCTCTTCATCAATTACTACCAAATTAACCTTTCCATTTCATAATATGCCACTTCTCTGCTCATAAATTTGCAATGATATCCAAGGCAACCGATGTCTACCAAGTAATGCAGAAGCTATTCAATCACTTAGGGTTGCCCACAAGACTGCTTGAAAACCACCCCACCTATCTCATCTTTGTCCTGCTGTTCACTCACTGTAGGCTCAAATCACCTTGAAGTCTCCATTATGAGCATTTCTATGAAATGAATCACTTCAAATCCTAGTGTACATGAGTGTAGGTCTTATTAAAAATTCAGATCACCACACATCAGACCTAGAATTATAATCTTGGGGTGAGGGCCCTGCACCAAGCTGTTCGGTAAGCTCCACTGTCGCTGCTAATGCTGATCATTTAGCCAGTGCTGTTCAAGAAAACGTCCTGCAATGGTGGGATGGCTCTATAACATTCCCTAGTCAGTGACTACTAGTCATATTTGGCTATTGAGCACTTGAAATGTGGCTAGTGTGACTGAAGAACGAAATATTTAATTTTGTTAACTTTAATTAAATTTTAATTAAATTTAAATTCCACATGTGGCTAGTGGCTTCCATATTGGATAGTACAAATTTGACAATTCCTCATTATTAGATCTTGAAAGTATGTATATCCCATCATTCACTATTAGCAATGCACTAAATATTCCAATACATAACATTTCATATGTCACATTTCTTGGTTAAAATTTCTAGTCAAAGAATATAAATAACTTAAATTTTTAAATAATTATTATGAAACTCTTCTCCAGAAAGTCTGTTCCAGTTTAAACTTCATCAACAGTTTATTGGCAAGGTCAATAGATCTTACACTGGATACAATATTTTGTAATCCTAAAGCCTATTTTTGGTCTTTTATTCCTCATAATAGCTTCATAATAACATCTTATTATATACATTTTTCATTATTTATTTCTTTTGTTGTCTGTCCACCCCCGACAAGAATATAAGCTTAATACAGTAAAAAATTTTGTCAATTTATTTACTGCTTATTTCCATAATCTACAAGAGTGTCAGTTACATAAGAGATACTCAGTTAATTAACACTTATAATTTAAATATAACATCACATTGGACTCTCTCACTTTACTTTTAACATGATTTACCTTAATCACATTTCTATCTTTCAATAATTACAATTTCTAAAATTATATAAATAATCTAGTCATTGATCTGAGTACTTATTAAGACAGTATGCATCCAATTTGGTATTTTCAAAATTTAAGGATAAGAGTTATTTTCCTAATTCAGTTATAAATTTAAAAGAACATCTTTCCTTTGTATGATATACTTATAATTTTTTAGAAGCCAGAAGGACTCAGCAGATGTGAGCTTTATTGTTGGCACAAAGTTGATCTTCTTACTTTTTGGCCTAGAAATAAACATATCAACATCTAAATGAGCTTCCTACAAATAATTTGACAGCTCTCATTAGTTTATGAGATTTAAATTTTTTTCAATTATGTAATAAATCATGGAAATAATTTTTTTCCATTTTCAGGGATGGATTGACATTAATATTTTGTTAATTGTTGCTCATGTTGTTAACCCAACAATTTTATTACTATTTACTTAATCATGTATATGTAGCCACCTGGTAATATGGAATATGACTCTGTTGTTGTACTAATACAGATTTTCTTGTAGAATGTACAAGAATGTACAAGAAGGCCTTAAAGCCTTCTGAGATAAAAATAATTCTATATAGTTTTGAAATTAAATGCACAAATAATGAAGAAAACAAAAAACCTAAAATTTAATTTGAATGTTATAAAGTTAGCTCAACAAAGTAATTTTTTAAAAAATTAATAATACTTCACTGAATAATGCCATGTTTGAAGAATAAATATTTAATTATAGTTCCTGTTCTAGAGAAATTTCAAGGAGGAGAGAATTTATTAACCTGAGAAATTACTCCTAATATAGATAACCTGAATGTGTTTATTAATTAATGGATGCTAATTAGTTAATAAGGATTTCCTAAGCCCATATTTTTTAAGTCTTTTAGAAAATACACACACGGTACATGTACAACTTGGTCCCTGCCTTTGAGATACCCCACTTAAACAGGGGGAGTTAATTAGTATTCTAAAGAGTGTTCAAAAACCATGCATTTTGTGTCTAATACTTGCCAACAAGCATATTGCAAGATTGTTACTATACAAATTAAATAGAATAATTCAAAACTATCAAAACACTTCTAATAAGAAGAATCACCACAAATTGTTTCTAGAAAATGCAGAGAAGCAGACAAATACATAGAATGGTCAGGTGAAATATAACTTGAAGATATATGTAAGATTTGGATGGTTGAGAAATGATTATATTGGAAATATCTATTAAATTGACTTTTCTTATTTCCAGGCAGAATAGCCTTCGTACTAAAGGCTTGAATACTTTCCTGGATACCCACTCAGTTGGGATACTTTCTCCTGAAGTTTCTAGCACTTTACTAAGGCTAGCTCAACGGAGGTCAATTAAGGAAAATAAACCTTTTTGGGAATGAACAAATTTTCACAGTGCACCAAGGTACATATGTTAATACATGGAATCTCTGTGGTCTCTATCTGCACAATCCTGGTGACATTCCTTTTACTAAAAATAAATTACTATCTTCAAAATGCCATCATGCTTAACACAACAGTCATGGTTATGAAATGCGACCTATGATAACAAACATGGATATTTCCATTTTACCTCATCTTGCTGTGAGTTCAGCAGCTGCAGTTTCATGTGCTTCATATAGGCCATGGTAATTGGCATGTTGTAGTCAATCATGCTGGTCACCAATGTGGGAGGTTTTCCATTATCTGTAATATAACATTTTTAATGTATAATGAAAGTGGTACTGCATTCAACCTGTAATTTCAGAATGATTCAATTTGTTCAAATTGAAATAAGATTCTGGGTACCAAGTGTTTAGGAGACTGCAAGCATTAGAAGAGATGGATTGTAGAAAAAATAACTGGTAAATTTCTACAAAGGTATATGGCAACAAGTTAGCACCATGGATAGATTTGTTATTTCTACTACAGGGGAGCTTTTGGTATTCTGGGTAAGGATGGGTGAAGGCAATATAGCAATTAAACAATTATTAGTATTTGTATTTTCCTCTTTTGCTCTAACTTAATAGGGTGGGGCAAAGTAGGCTTACAGTCATATGTGAAACACAAGAGTTTATTCTTGTATTATTATTAATTATTGTATTATTTTCCATTTGAACAACCGTAAACCTATTTTTACCCCACCCTCTATATGTACTCATTTTTTTTTTTTTTTTGCGAGTCTACTTTCTGATTCTCTAACATGTGGGAATGGGCAAGCCTAACTGTATCTTTGAGATTAATTTAATCTCTGAGAAAATTGAATAGATTAGGAAAATAATCTAGATAATTTTTAAGGAACATAAAAGCCAAACTGCAATTTGTATGCAAAGTTTTTCAGTGAAGGAACGCCAAACTATTTATCACCTTAGGAAATAAGAAATTGGCAGGTTTAAAAGGACACGAAACATCAATTTCCTTGCTGAATATATCTAAAATACAATGAAATACACACAATAAATTAAAATTAAAATATTATTAGAGAAAAAATTATTTTTTACAAACTGTCTTTACTCTGAAAATGGGCGCTGAATCACTCTGTAAATGGATATTCAAAATTCACTGCCTCCTACTTGAATAAATGAGATGATCTGACTTGTTGAACTGTTTCAGTCTACCACATTTTTTTAAAAATTGTGAGATATAAATTGCCATTATGAATAAAATTACTCTAAATCTCACTATTTGACACTGAGGCTACCTTTATGATCTGTTCCATCTGGGTTTAAATGCATTCTTTTCTGGCATTCTGAGCAGCTCATTAGAAATCGTGTCACCGCTTCTCTTGGTAGGAAGGCATAGCTCTCTGAAATCTGCAATGATTCACAAAATAAAAGTGTTATTATATAAGCTGACTGAGCGTGATTCAACAGAAATGATCACTGTATTTCCAAATAAGACGCATTATTCCATAATGGCAGGAAGCACAATGAAAGCATGCACTGCATACCATGCATCATTTCAAGAAATATCTATCCAACTAGATTGTACGTCTCTTAATAATAGTTAATAACATGATGTGGAGAAAAAAAATCAGCCACATCTGAATGGATATCTGTTTATATTTCTGCATTTATTTTAGTAAGAATCATCACAGTATACAGATATTATTGTGAATTTTCCTTATTAAAAATCACCAACATTTTTTAAACTTACTGCTAGCATCATCATTATTTTATCCAATTTTACATATATATTTTAAAATTTTGTCCCAAGTAGAAACAATGAACTTTGAATTTTGCATTAATGAGCTTTTCTTCATTATTGCTTTTCAAAATGTTTTAAGTGAAAAGAGAGAATTCTAACCATATTCACATATATATTTACTGCAGTGAATCATCCCTTCCACAGAAAATGACACACCTGGAAATGCATGTTGGCCACCTATTCTGTTACTTTATATCACATTTGTATAATTTATGCCTATAATAGCTCACATTGATTGTCAAAGCAAGCTTTCTCCATGTCCTATGCAGAGCTTCTATTTTCAGAACTATGATCTAGAGTCAAATTACTTTAAAAAACCAAGCTATTTCTCTCATCAAAGCAAATAATTTCTGAAGTGAGACTGACAAATTGTTCAATGTCCCTAAATACAAATTAACACTGACTCAGACAGCGCTACTAAGAAGTCTGATAACACGGCACTAGTTTTCCACTATAGCACTAACACTGGTACATGAAATGTGAGATAAGCAGGGGGAATAAGTAAGTTGTAAATTAGACATAAATGCCACAGATGGTTTCTCAGTTACATATTTACTATTGTGAACAATAATACATTTTAAGTTTGTAGAAAGGAAAAAATATGCACCTCATATGTAACAGAATACGAGTCTACACCAACTCCATTAATGGTGATGAGGTCAACGTATGCTTATTCATGCGGTAGAAGGCACACAGCATTTAGAAAACCCTACATATTAAGATCTCAAACAGTAAAGCATACTTTCCTGAATTGAATACTAAAATCAGTTTGTGTCACGTGGCCTATCCTATTGACTCTCAGGAAAAGAAGCCATAAGCACACCAAAGAGAAGAAACAAGTCTATAATTAAAATCTACCACGGATGAGCCACATGCTAGTCATTAAAGTTCAACGTTACTAGGATTTGAAGTATAAAACTCTGATTTTAATATAATTATTATATTTGTAAATTAAGATGTCCAGTTTCTTTAAAAATACTTCTTTGTACTGTACCAGAAAATGTGAAAAAACAAGCAGAAAAGTTTGAAAGTACTTCATCAAACTATTTTATATTAGCTATTAAATAGGAAAAAGTACACCCAATTTAAATTCTCATTCACTCTCTCTTATGCTCTTTCTTTCTCCACACACACACAAATTGAATTCATATTCATCTGTTTTGCAGAGGGAACTAACAACTTTGCCACATTTATTTATCTGATTAGAGATCTTTTTTTAATCACTGGAAGCCTATTTTACAATAATACATAAGTAAAGAGAAATTATGATGCCTGCCCAGTCACTACACTTTATTTTTTAATTCACATGGAAATATATAGTCCATTGGAACTAATGGGGCTGACCAGTAAATTCATTAACAAATAGGATTTGAGAAGAATGTTTCATTGATTTTCATACAGGATTTCTATTAAATCTTTTCTCTCCATGCATAAAAAGAACTCTTCCGTGGAAAGAAACATAGGCAAGCGGTGGGGTTGAAGAGATGCTCCATTGGTCCTGATGCATGCGCCACAATCTGCCCTTTTCCAAGGCTAACATAGCACTTGTGTGGGAACCCCTTCCAGACAGATTTATGATTGACCCAACTCAGCTGTACTGCTTATCTTAGCTCTACTTAGCTCCAAATCAATCCGTCTTGGAACCATCATTAATCACATGACATTTCTTTTATACCTTTACTCTGAGAAACAAGTACCTGTAATAGTCACAAATACATTTGTGTTCATGTGCACCTGTATGCATGAAATATTGTAATATAAGGTCCCATCTGTACCTTAGAAAAGATTTTTCACAGGTATTTTGTCACATTATTCTCTATGGTGGTATTCTGGCATACTGTTTAGCATGCTACTATTGGTTATATACGCGTATGTAGATAAAGGCTCTTATCTTATGTGGGTGTAGTTTTCTTGGCGTGCAGAATCCATTTTATGGTGAGACCTCCGGAGGCTTCTCACTATCCTCATCTTTTCTGCCCTACCCTTGCTCCCCGGGACCCACAGAATACTGAGTCTTCTCAGGTACAGGGGTGAGAAATCCTCCAAACAGACCCAAGCCTCATACTGACTTCTGAAACAATGTTTCCCCTGCCTTGGAGGTGAAGAGAGGAAATCATTCCTTTTTCCTCATCTACAATCTTTGCTTCCAGATCTCTTTAAAATGAAAAGTCCTAAGCAACCTTCATTGTTGGGCTCTTAGAACATTTTAAAAAATGAAAAATGTCCTTACAGATTCTTAAATTATGGTCATTAGAATAACTGCATTTCAGAATTAAAGCCATGTGATGAAATCCTATCTTTAATCCTGCCAGTATCCTTTGGTAACCTCATTCAGAAATAACAGGGAAAGCTTACATGTGAAAGCTCTTTTGAACTTGAAGCCTGGGCTAAACACCCCTGTAGCCTTTGCTCTAAAGAAAGGCCCTGTTTCCGTGAATGTTTGAAATGCTAAATTGACTTTAAACAGATGTTCATAAATGGTGATAAAACTCAGGGACATGTTCTTCTAGGCTGCCCATTCATCAGAGTTCTAACATCCCTCATGCAATATGTAAAAGCAGTTGCAAATAAAACCTAGCAGTAAGGGACAGAAATGGAAAAATATTTTGATTCAGATACTTGAGATGCCAATCTACTAATGCCATAATTAATTATATAAAATGCTATAACCACTTATAAATGTCTATTTCCTTGACCCATTTTTCAAATCTAATCACTTCTCTGTTTCTAGGATAGAAATTGGACTTTGTAGATGCAGCACAGATGTTTGCTAGGACATTGGTAAGGAGAATACTTCTTCCGAAAGTGTATTCTTAGAAATACGTTTATATTTGGGAGAGATAGAGAATACTTTCTTAGAATTTGTTTGTGAACACAGAAACGATCATCTTCTTAATAATAGGAAGCAAAAAGTAACATGAATCCATATTAGTCTTGCTCCCTCTGAACTGAACACTAAAAAGACAATGGCCTTGTGACAAGTCACATATGTTGCTCACAACAAAATTAAACATACAAAGGAAGGATTAGAACATAGCCATAATGACTCATATAAACTAATGACCTTAACATTATTTATCAGGTAAATAATTTGAGATACTTCTTTATTAGAAATGTTTTTTTCTATAAGTCTAGACTTGTTTTATTACATGTATATAGTGCTTTATACGTTTCCTTGGGTTTTTGTATCCATTAATTTAAACAGTTCCTAAAACAGATTTTATGGCAACGTTTTGATAAATAGATTGACTAATAAAAATAGATGAAATGAATTGACATCGTTAGTAGAGAGCAAAGAGCTGAAACTCGAATGTGGATCTCTCGAATCCTGGTTTATTTCGATAAATTGGATGGACCATGGTGGGCTTATCCAACAGACAGATTAGACAAAGGCTGAGGGTCCATAAAAAGCAGGACTGTCAAAACTGGTATTTTAAAATTTTTATTTCAAAAAATTCCAGAGTATCAAAGTATTACCATAGGACGAAGTCAGCACTTGTAAAACTTCCTTAAACTTGAGCGATGGCTGAAGTTCCATTGCTGTTTAATTTTAAATCTACTGCGGCTGAAGGGTTGGGATGCTCTGGCACAATATAACCTATCCATTACCTACCACTTCTAAGGACCTTAATGACGTTTTCAATAAAAATATAAATTCTAAGTCCATTAAGACTGGGGTTCATCAGTAAGGCAGAAAATAATAAATCACATAACATAAATTATAAGCAGAAATGAATTCCATTGAAAAATATAGTAATACTTCTACATAAAAACATTGCACTAGAGCATCTTTTGACAGTCCAAACAATAAAATTAACCTCTGGAGCAAACACAGGGTAGCACGGTAATCTAATGATAAACTGATCCACGTGAAGAAGGCCCGCAGATCAAGTCCCACAAAGGGCACTATGTTATATACTCAAATTTGATACTATATATGGAACACATTTTAAATATATTATTATATAGTTTAAAATATGATATATTTTAAATATAAATATATAATATTATATATATGGAACACATTTCTGAAAAGCTTACTGCAAATATAATAGAAATGAAGATGGGCATTTTACCTTGCCAATGTCCTGGCTTTCTGAAGAAAAAACCCACAGTACTTCTTAAAAACCCTGCACTTGTAAAGCCAGATTCTGGCAGTTCTCACGTGTCACTCACCTTCCTCTCAACACAGCCCAGTTAAGGTAAATATGGCAGTTAACCCCCCAAAATTAAAATAAACATAAAAATGAATAGCAGGTTTTTCTCTTCAGATATAAATCTTCAGATATAAATCTCTTCCTACCTGGATCTGAACACATGAAATAATACAGAAGTGGGCAAAGAGTAGGTTTATAGTTATAATGCAATAATTAATAATATTAAAATAAATTCTGTTTCACATTCTCACCACTATAAACCTACTTCTGCCCACTCCTGTATAAAGTTATAAAATTAAAGAAGTTAATCAAAATGAAGTAATAAATGATTGCTTTGCTTTATTTTTTCAGACTGCCTCACAATTACATGTTGGAAGTTTATCTCCATAATTCAAGCCATACAATTTATAAATTGAGAGCAAAATTGGTAACAAAAAATTTAAAAACAG